ATAGGTAAGCCTAACATGTCCAAAGTGATTTCTGGGAGGAATATTCTAACATACAGAATTAGTGATATATACGTAAGCCAAACATAACCAGTGTAATTAATGGGAAAACTATTTAACATATATAATTTGTAGTATAAATAGGTAGGCCAAATCGTGTCAAGTGTAATAAAAGGAAGAATATCTTAATATACAGAATTTGTGATATTTAGGTAAGCAACATATGCCCAGTGTGAGTTGTGGAAGAGATGTTTTAACGTACAGAATTTGTGATATATAGGTAAGCAACACATGCCCAGTGTGAGTTGTGGAAGAGATGTTTTAACCTACAGAATTTGTGATATATAGGTAAGCAACACATGCCCAGTGTGAGTTGTGGGAGAGATGTTTTAACGTACAGAATTTGTGATATATAGGTAAGCAACACATGCCCAGTGTGAGTTGTGGGAGAGATGTTTTAACGTACAGAATTTGTGATATATAGGTAAGCAACACATGCCCAGTGTGAGTTGTGGAAGAGATGTTTTAACCTACAGAATTTGTGATATATAGGTAAGCAACACATGCCCAGTGTGAGTTGTGGAAGAGATGTTTTAACGTACCGAATTTGTGATATATAGGTAAGCAACACATGCCCAGTGTGAGTTGTGGAAGAGATGTTTTAACGTACCGAATTTGTGATATATAGGCATGATAAAGTGTTCAGTGTGATTAATGGTAGGAATAATGATTTTTTTTATATATAATTTTGTTAACATAATCGACATGTTAATGAATAGATGGTTCGATCGATAGATTTTGGTTGATATAAAGATGCCGTCAAACGAATATATATCTATACATAGAGAGTGAGAAATAAGTAGAAAGATAAGGTTATGTGTGTAGTTGATATTTTATTAGATATGGAAATAAATGGGGTAAAGTTATGATTTTGTTTGTTATTTTGTGAGAGATACTAATTTTAGATAGTTTCAGAATGTTTTAAAAAAATATGGTGAAATTGGTATTGAAGATATAAAGTTAAAGTGATGGCAAACTGTCGCTCACACACACAATAGTTTAGCTAACTTTTGAATACGGGAGTTTACATCCTAAAACGCACATTAAGGACTAAATGTCCAGGTCAGAAATCTCTAAGGCTCAGACACATTGTTTACCACAGTGAAAACAGCTAGCCATTGGCACTCACCGCCTATGCGACTATACTAAATCGAATAGTGGGATTGAGTGTTACAGTTATAAAGCTTTCTCACAACACAGCTGAAAGTGTGGAGCATGTTCAGCAATTTGTCGCTTCTCGCACCTTTGACCTTCTAATCCATGTTCAGCAATATGTCGCTTCTCGCACCTTTGACCTTCTAATCCATGTTCAGCAATATGTCGCTTCTCGCACCTTTGACCCTCTAATCCATGTTCAGCAATATGTCGCTTCTCGCACCTTTGACCTTCTAATCCATGTTCAGCAATATGTCGCTTCTCGCACCTTTGACCTTCTAATCCATGTTCAGCAATATGCCGCTTCTCGCACCTTTGACCTTTTAATCCACACTAATCACGTTTCAGAAGCAATGGGTAGAAACAAGCATGTACTAAAGCTAAAAAACTTCCATGCTCAAAAAGTATACACTTCTTTCAAAAAAAGTAACATTCCATGGTTAAAGTTATAAAATTAGAAATGTATTAGTGATTTTCAAATAAAAAATGTTTTTTATTGCAATGAATGGGAATGTTTGATTGTTTAGTAGCATATATACATGTATATATATATATTTGTCTTGTAAATCTGTATTCTTTGTGTACTTTTAAATTTGTCAGACAGATTTTCTGTTAATGTTTACAGTACGAGCAGCTTTCTTTATTAAGATAATATACTGAATACAACAACCCGGAAAAGCATGACATTTTTTCTTGTTATTTTTATTCCTTGGTCTTTGTAAATATGTGATGAGATTGGACTGCTCCAATCAAATCTGTCTTCTGATGCTTTTCTCGAATGATTGTTATAAGATAGTAGCGTGTTTCTAGTACACCTATATGGAGAATTATAATGTTTAAATTATTTCTTACATTAAAAACTCGGAAATATCGTTAATTGCACACGAAAGAGCCGTGAGCAGCACGTGACTCCAGCTGATTAAGCACCTCCCGGTCGTCAGCACACGTATCGACAGGCATGATCTCACAACGTGATCTGAACCAGAAAATACAATTTCATAATGCAACCACACTCTTCAAATCCCATTGTGTAACCTTCTATGTGGCCGAGCTTCGAGCGTGATAGCAAAAATCATGTTCCTTGAAATGGAAGAAATGTTAGCAATCAAATCCACGCGATTAGATGAAGGTCTCGAGATTCAACGGCAGAACCTGGAAACATGATTAGAGAAATCTTTTCAACAGGTCAAAGGAAATAAAATTTATTTTGTATCATAGTCGGAATTTAATTCATGGTATGATTTACAAATTTAAGAACAACCAGCCTACGCTCTTTTGTTTGAGATTAACAAAGTGACCACAAGAGGCCTTCTGCAATATAAAGAGTTGACAATTGTACTATTTAACGACCAGCAACCACAGCTATATCTAATTTCTAAACTTTGCTTGCAGTGTTAAAGGACCAGTGAACCCGTATTCTCTGTTTGATCTTCACAGCCTACAAAGTTTTCTCTATTCATCCAAAATATTCTGTCTAGAATAATTCAACAGAGTTTACCTTGTTACTTTGTTGCGATGTTTCAACAGTAATAGTCAAAAATGATTCCCTTACTTGATAGTAGTACAATCTCAACCCGTTATTGTCTCGCTAGTTGTTCACATCTACCTATATATAGTCCAAAAAAGTAAAGTAGAACCTTCTACATCTGCATATTATATAAAAGCACAAGAATTTTGCTTTAAAATATAGTGGGTCTGTTGATATTTTGTTTATATCAATAGCGTTTGGTATGTGCATAACAGAGCTGGAATGCTTGTAGACAGGTAGAATTCGTCGCACATTAAATATTCTCTATATCATTTTATCCCCAAGGTTTTCCAATTCTGTCGTTGAAATCTTCTCGTCTTCTTGACCTTCTTACTGTAATTAAAATGCATCCTACCTACCTATCAGTTCAATAGTATGCGCGCCTGCTTACAAAATTATCCCATGCCCTTAAAGATTGTTAAGTCTTAAGAGAAGTGTGCACCAAGCTAGTACTGCGAGATGAAACCCGAAGTCATAAATAAAGATTTCAAAGCAATAACACCATCAACGCAACTGTGTTTTCTAACAGTCAACTGTTGACCCTGTCCACAGATTAGGAATAGTGTCAATAATAACAAGGCTACGTTTATTATATCTCGTAAGACATGTTACAAAGGTTTTGCGTATTATTCTTATACGAATTATTAGAATCATACTGGATGTGATATATTGCACGGATTGTTCTTATTAATCCCTGTGTGACATATTCAATGGATTGTGGTTATTACATATGTTGTGACATATTCCAGTGATTTAGTTTATAACTTATGGTGGAGAAACAGATTTTGGATTTTTTGTTTCTTGTATTACACATATCAAGGGATATGTTTATCATTTCTGATATGAAACGTTCAAGGGATTATGTTACAAATTGTGGTATGACATATTTCACGGAATATTTTTATTGTTCATGATATGACATATTTTAGATGTTATGTTTATCGTACCTGGTGTTCCCTGGTGAGTCAGCGATAAGTTACGGACTTACAACGCTTGATTCTTCGCGATGGACAAAGCGAAGATGTGACTTTGCGTTAAAAAAGGATCATACCTGGTGTGACATAATCCATGGACGTTATTAATTACTCCTAGCGTGACACATTCATCAGGTTGTGATTATGAAACCTAGTGTGACATAATCCATGGACGTTATTAATTACTACTAACGTGACACATTTATCAGGTTGTGATTATGAAACCTAGTGTGACATAATCCATGGACTTTATTAATTACTACTAACGTGACACATTTATCAGGTTGTGTTTATGAAATCTGGTGTAACAATGTTTATTCACTGGAATAAGGATTTGTGACACAGCACCTGTTGATTTCTTATTATTGTTTTTATTGAAGTATGATACTAAACGTAAGATTGTTGTTTTTAGCGCAAAACTACACACAATGAGCGTTCTGCCCATCGCAGGGAATATAGCCTGGACTTTAACGTTACAAGTTTACGAAAGTAACGCTTGCCCAAGGGTAAACTGTAACTGTAAACTAAAGAAAATTATTACCCTGCACAACTATTGTAATTCATATATATTAGATAAGTATGTATGTACAGGGTTATTACAAAGTTAGTTGGCCTTCTCTACCGTCCATAATTCGAAAACAGATCATCAAAGAGTGTAATATTTGGTAGATGGGGGTAACGATATTTTGAAAACGGTGATTCATGTGTCAAAAATATTTCTGTCCTGGATGAGCTATAGTACAATATGTATAATGATAACAGACATTTTATCTCTGAACGGCAGAAATGTTCAAGAATGTTCTGGTAAATCCCCTAAAATATTGCTACATCTATAGGAAAAACGCTGGTGCGACATTAAGCTAATATCGACGTGGAAGTGGCAAACAGAAAGCACCAGGTAGCAATGCGGCTATTAAACAAATTTAAACAAAGAGGATCGATCAGATGTTGATATAACTTGGATCATGCTATGATTTCTACACTTCAACTCGCTTTATAATAACCCTGTATGTATGTATATAGCATTGTTTGTTACATTTCATGTAAAGCTACTCGAGGGCAATCTGCTCTAGATATATAGTGAAAACTTTATAAGTACGGTGCTTTATTTACTGTAAGCGTTTTGTCCACATTTTAAACCACATTCCATGGAAGTGAAAGAAACAACAACAATGGCCAACTTTGGTGTAATACGTCGTTATACTATTATTCAAGACTTGGTTTATAGGTTTTTTGTTGTTGTTTTTTTTTTATTCAGAAAAAACAACAACAAGAGCTATTACACGTAAGATTTAAATAATATTTCATAATACAAAGATTAGGAATTATACTACAACATAATTATTTCTGTTTCGGCGATGCAACTTATGTTGAAATCGAAGAAACCCAAACTGCTTTCACTTGTGTACCCTGGTGATGGTATATCTATAAGACAAATTACACGAAACCCTTAAACAAAAGGTTAGGAAATAAATTTGTAAAATACATAAGAAAAACTACGGGAGTTATTTTCAGATGATTGTTTTATAGTTTGGAACAAATCAACAGAGGACCCACAATATTTTTTAAAATATATTAAGTTCTCTACGCCACTCTATAAAATTCACAATGGACATGGACGACAGTGAACTACCATACTTCGAAATACTAATAAAAAAATCCGGCACAATATTGCTACTATAACAACACTGATACTCCTCAGTACCAGACATTTTATTATTGCCACCTATCCTATATATAAGGGAACATTCCACACAACTTAGCGCGAATACTTTGTACAATTCTGTAAGATGACGAGACCAAAAAAAGGAAAGATCTTCAAAGTTAATGCTAACATAACTGTAAGTCTAAAAGTCCTGTATATTGTAAAATATGTTCCAATTGCAACGAAAATTACACAGGTTAAACCGGAAAGAAACTTTGTGAGAGAAAATGCGAATTTATCGATAACAAATTCGTAATCCATCAACACGCAATATTCATGGAGTGAACATTCAGGCACTTGTTGCAATGGACAGTTTGTAGCTTTCCATTTTACAAAATGTTTTCAATCAGTAAAATAAATCGGGCATCAAAAGAAAAATATTTCATAGAATTATTGTAACCATCATTTAACTGCTACAAAAAAGTTCGCACACGTTTTTGTTCCTTTTAATTCTTTATATTTTCTATTTGTAGCTTCATCCGTGACTTCATATTTAGAACTGTTCTTAATAAATAAAGAGTGAGCCTTGGATGAAAACGCTTATATTCAAAAATGAATTAATTGATTTATCTTTGTAACCAAATGACTATCACACGTACTACGTAACCTGTTGACAATATTACATGTACTAAATAACCTGCTCACAATATCACATGTACTACATAACCTATTTACAATATTATACGTACCATGTAACCAATTGAAAATATCAAACGTACTTCGTTACTTGATAACTATCTCACAATTCCACGTGTACTACATAACCTATTTACAATATTATACGTACCATGTAACCAATTGAAAAATATCAAACGTACTTCGTTACTTGATAACTATCTCACAATTCCACGTGTACTGCGCAACCTGCTGACAATATTACATCCATTACGTAATCTGTTGACAGTGTGATGTCCCCACGCTACGTAAACTGCTGACAATATTACATTCATTACGTAATCTGTTGACAATGTCATGTCCCCACGCTACGTAAACTGCTGACAATATTACATTCATTACGTAATCTGTTGACAATGTCATGTCCCCACACTACGTAAACTGTTGACAATATTACATCCATTACGTAATCTGTTGACAATGTCATGTCCCCACACTACGTAAACTGTTGACAATATTACATCCATTACGTAATCTGTTGACAATGTCATGTCCCCACACTACGTAAACTGCTGACAATATTACATCCATTACGTAATCTGTTGACAATGTCATGTCCCCACACTACGTAAACTGTTGACAATATCACACACACACACGCAGCGTAATCTATTACAGCAATTATCTTCTTAACAGTAAATTTGAGCATGTTCCTAACACCACCATTTATGTAGTGAAACAGTTGACAAAATCACATGTACGACGTAACCTGATTGCAAAAACATCACATACGTACATGAAATAGCCTATAAGAACATTACATGTACCATTTAGCTTGATAACAGCACGACATGAACCTTTTCGTAATCCACATTTTTAAGAATATGCGTTCATACGCGTATTTTCATTTTTTTACAACAAAAGCGTCACCGAAAGTGGCAACAGCACCTAAATGTCATTTCCAGTGTATGCAATCAATACAATCCTATTACTCAACCCCAATGAGAAATCACCTAACTATTAAATGTGTATTAACCTATTACTTCAAGAAAGCGTTAATTTTTAGACAGTATATATCTATATATTATTTAATGTCAATTCTCGTTCAGAACATAGTATTTATCAGTGTTTGAGAAACTCGATTTATTATAGCCACCTATCGGTGGTGTTAAGGAAAGACGAATGAAGTTCGAAAATACAACGATAAAAACAGTAGAGCTTAATAGCTGAAGCCTAAGAACACAAAGTGTACAAACATGTTTTGATGTAACGTTCCAGAAAAAAACATTTAAAAAACAACAAAACAAGATTCCGTTCACTTATATGACATTAGACTTTGAATTACCTGAACTAACTGGTTTTATGGTGTACAGATAAATATAATCATTGTTTGTTTCTTGCTTTTAAAAAAAACATCTCTTAGAGTATGATTTTTTATTTCTTTTTTGGGGCAGATTAACAGAAGGTCTTCAATATTGGCTGTTCTGAGTTATTTAGTTTTTTAAATTTTGAATAAATATTAAAACGTAGTTAAAAAAAGGGAATTTTTATAAATTATTCTTTTCGCTAACAGGATTTCACTAAGCGTGATACATTCTGACTATTTAAAGTTGAATGTCTACCTCTGAAACAGTAACAAACCTTTCAAGATACAGGACACATAAATATTTGTTTATTCGGCATATGTAGTAGCTGTAGATATAACACCGATTAAAATACGTTAAAATAATGTTACTTTCTTACGAGTAGCTTGACGCCGTCTTGACAAGGCGATAGTAGACTACAGTCGTCACACCTGGATATAGAGGCCTCAACATTGGTTGTTTCTTCTTCTAGCGTTTCTCCCATGTAAATCAAATCATAGACGGCCTTCCCGTTCAGCCAAGCTAGCCCTAATCCAATTCCATTTCCAAAATGAAATTACTTGGCACTAAGTGATATCCAAATCCGGAGACTTGGAAAAGGGAGGCCAGCTTTGATGAATAATGCAGGGACACAATGGACGTCATTTGTGCTTTTCTCAGAGCTCAAAAGAACTCACATCTAAAGTTTTTATGGGCTCTGCTCAACATACAGGGGTACAGGCTTACAGGGCGGTAAACGCATTACTGGCTATGATGTCTTTTTAGTACTGCTTGTCGTTGAAGTCAATATAACTATTTTTATGACAGACCTGTAGTTCTGACTTTAAAACATTGAATCAATAATTTCTCTAAAACCACTTCTATACAGAACCAAGAGGAGTTAGTCTCTGAAGTTAATGAACAACAAGAACACGGAAGACGAAAAATACTGTTCTCTATCGTTACACACGATATATTCCACAAATATGTCTTTATAAAATTTATTCTTTGTTGATGCTACATAAAAAGATATTGCCCACTTTGCTAATTTGATTAAATAGCAACATACGCTGATTTTGCTCTGATATCATAGCAGAATCGAACTTTGTTAATGTACTGAAATAGCATTAATATTTAACATAAAGAAACATGATCACACTGATACCATATCAAAAACAGTTATTTCGTAAAGTATAATGGACATTCTTATTTAAATTAAGGAAATTTGATCACACTGAATACCGTATAGGCATTTGATACAGAAACATGAATGTTAACTCAAGGAAATACGACGAACTATGTATACCGTATCAGAGAACCAACAACTAATAATGTTGTAATAGAGACAATTATGTTTAAACTGAAGAAATATGACCAACTGTGTATTTCGTATCAGAAAACATCATTGATAATAAATAATACATCATCATAGTAAGGCTATTTGACCACACTACATACCGTAACATTTGGTAATGTCGTAACAAAGAGACATTAATTGTTAAAGGAAATGTGACAAATACTGATAGCAGAAATAAACATTTCATGTTGTAGAAACAGGAAACAACTTATAAATCATGGAATTGTGGGTACAACAATATTGAAGCTTGAAAAAAATAATTTAAGAACATTTTTCATTCCATTTTTGTATTTTTAAGTTATAAAGAGGTTTTCTCATTCTACTTGGGGCTCTGAGTGTTTAAAGTAGAAGAACATTTTTTGTTGTTTTATTATTCTAAGCAGTCCAGGTTCCTCTTATGTTAGAAGGACGTTTTATTTTCTAATATCAGAGACGTTTCTGATATTTGAAGTTACCTCCCCTAAAGAGGCGAGATTTTAGATTTGAGGTTGTCGTTTCTCGATCATTCTGGAGATACAATTATGTAAATATGATTTTGATTTTATTTTCTTTAGATAAACCGTTCTGAGTTTAGTAAAGATCTTACCTTTCAAGATTTTAGTAGTAGGGGAGCCATCTCTACTCCACGGGGGATCGCCAAAACCCGAAAAGTCCCGTAGTTTCAAGAAACTAATAGTCAAACGAATGATAGATGCTTTGTCCAACTGGCTAGTGATGGCGGAGGGGAGTGGCAACATTTTGGCCAGTTCATAAAACTCATAGTTCTCCTTTCCTCGCCTAGACCTTGCGGCGTCACGTGATTTCTCCTTCCGCATCTCAAGGATACTAGGTTAAAACAGAATAGATGTGAATGTTTATTATATTACATGAAAGATGTTATAAATAACTAAAACTAGATTAAATTGTTTATATAATTATTATGTGCTATTGTTTCTCATGCTTAGCTCGATACACAATAAAGGTATGAATCACTCAAATTCCTAATAACAGTTCAGACGAAAAAATTGGAAATTATTACTTTTAAATGTATTTGGTAAAGTTAAACTACAACCTTGAAGACAGAAATCTTCACTCCTTAAGTATAAAAAAATGCCCGAATAAAAATATGTTTATAAACACATACAAAAACTATCTCATGACATTAAACACAATACTATACACAGTCTCAAGTAATTCCAATAATTCAGTTATTATGAGGTGCTTTAGTTGTTAGCCAATCACACGATATAACTATGAAGACATATTACACCGATCATAAGTAATATCGATATGTTAGTCAATCACACAACAGATTAATTAAACTGACATGATACTTCAGTGGTATTCCACCAAAAGACATAAAAACAAGTAATTATCGTTATTGTTCAGCAGCACGCCACAATGTGTCTCGACCTCAGGCAAAGGGTAAGAGGTAGAAACGGTGGAGTCATAGTTCCAAAAAGAGGAACTAGAGGACGCGTTGCTATGGGCACATTGCTAGGACACCATGACAGGCGAAAGTTGTCATGCCACCATGACACTTGACAATGAAAGTTGTCTAATGAGCGTGTTGCTTTTGTGATGTTGTTAGTCCGTAATGACAGTGGAACAAAAGCTTGGTGCTATCAGAGAGCGCGTTGCTAGGCGTGGCATCACAGTTCGAGTTGTTAAAACCACGAAATGGCACCAGGGGACGTGTTGTTTTGAAAATATTACGGTAACATGACTTATCTTTTCACTTAAATATTATACGAATCGCCAGTTACAAATCAGTGTTCTGTGTGAAACTCTGAATAAGAATGTTGTCACACATACTAAAACATTTATTCACAAAACTATTTCTCATTATTTGACAGAACATGTGCATTTCAGTTAAAGTAAAATTATTGTATACTTTCAACTCAAATATGCTCCATGAACTGATTCTTCGTGTTTCTAACAAATGTGTTTATCCATCTAATACAAAACTCCGTATAGATTTGATATCATCAATATATGTAAGTAAAATCATGAACTCTAAATAAAACTGATGTCACACATACTGAAATATATATAACAAGCATTGTAGATTTTGAAACAATGTTATGGTAACATGTGATGTATTATCTTTTACACTTATATAAAGAACATCAAAGTTTATTATTCATTTTGTCAGGTACAGTCAAGACAACCTCCACCTGATATGGTGGTCTAGCAACATACCTCTAGCAATGCGTCCTCTGAGCATTTTCATGGCGACATGAAAACGTCTACCTGTCATGGTAGCCTAGCAATGCGCTCTCGGATTCCACTTCATGGAACTATGACGTCATAATCTTTGCTCTTTGCCTGAGGTCGACACACGTATCACCCTCTGGTAGTGTGCCACTCAATAATCCAGATAACAACTATCACATTCTGATAGTTAGACAACATTTCATATGTTAATCAACCACACAATATAACAAAAAGAATACATTATAATATTCAGACAACATTCGTGTGTGTCACCTACAGGATATAACAACAGGGACACACATTAAAAACCAAGCAAAATATTGTTAGTCAAGCACAGAGGATGACGACTAGAACTCATTATACTAAACCAGACAAAATATTGTTAGAGAATCGCACGATATAATGAATGGAGAGCACATTGTATTAACTAGATACAATTTATATATGACAGAACAAGAAGGACATACTGTGTTAATCAGACAAGTCACTGTTATTTATTTACATGACGTAATAACAACGAATCTCTTGATATTCAACCAAGCGACATTATGACAAAGACTGACGGCTTATACAAACAGTCGTGATGATAGGAAACTATATGATAACCAAACAACAAATCTGTGGGATATCCAACAACTTAATATCATGGTAAAGATATAACGTAACAACTAGGAGCCAGTTTCACGAAAGTATCTTAGGAAAGAAATCGTTCCTGAAACAGAACTTAAGAAAAGTTTCATCTCTCAAGAACTTTCTTAAACTCTTTCCCAACTTTACGACAGGTTGTTGCTGGAGTTTGTTGAAGTTGTTACAAGAGTTATCTGCGCTAGTCTTCCCTAATTTAGCAGTGTAAGACTAGAGGGAAGGCAGCTAGTCATCACCACCCACCGCCAACTCTTGGGCTACTCTTTTATCAAAGAATAGTGGGATTAACCGTCACATTATAACGCCCTCACGGCTAAAAGGGCGAGCATGTTTGGTGTGACTGAGATTCGAACCCATGACCCTCAGAGTGCTTTAACCACCTGGCCATGCCGGGCCCATTTACGAGAGGAAAATAATTGTCTTAAGATAGAACTTAAGAATTATTTTCAACTTCAATTACACCGACATATTAACTTTTTTAAGTAAAATATTTTTTTAACTGTAAAAAATGTCCATTGTTAATCAAGAATAAAAACTTTCGCAGTTTGAAAAAGTATTGTATGACTTAAAGTGTCTTAGAGTATTACCTTTTATTAGATAATTGAAAAATATCTTGTTAAAATAAATAAAAAATATATACATTACATTTATGATAAATAAAAAGTGTGATTAATGAAACATTAGGGCACGTTGAGCAAATTGTCCTTAACACAACTGACCGTCCCGATTTGATTTGAAAGACCCATACATTCCCGATACCTTGTGTTTTTAAGATACTTAAGTCGTTCTTAGCCGAGACATCCCTAAAACAGTTTTGTGAAACAACTTAGAAAATACCTTACGAAGTTCTTAAGTTTCATCTTAAATACTGATTTAGAAAAAAATTATATAAAGAGGTTTTCGTGAAACTGAGCCCAGACAACGACAGATACAGTGAATTTTCGGATTTACATTAAAAGTAAAGGAAAACAGGAAATAGTATTGAGTTACATTTTAAAAACTTTTAATTAGTATGTGGATTTGAAAATAAAATTGTACTCAATGATACCCATTTAGTCAGAACCACGTGACAAAAACTGTGCCATCAGATACCACGTGTGACTCAAAAGCATGTTATGCTATTCTGCAGTCCCTAATTATTTAGATCTTTTCCCATCTGATATAAAGTTTGAAAATTACGTCTATGATTTCAGAAATAACTTGGAGCAAAACAGCATTATGATTGACTAACTACATCTGTTACCAATAAAAAAACGCCAATCACAATTTTCCGTCTGTTTTATAAACATCCAAAACTAATAGGTTTGACAAGATACGTTTTATTATTGTCTTTGCTGTCACAGTGAACAGCATTTTTCACAATTGTCATAGAGGAAAAACGTCATTACTAGGAAAATTGTGAGACACTTACAAACGAAACGTTCAAATTGAGGATCTGCTCATCAGCCACCGCCTCTCACTCTTTCATTTATAAAGAACAACATTCTGAACAAACATTTTATTATTCCTCCCTTTCCCCATATGATGGTCTGTACCGATGTCAGCCGCCGAAGGATTCAGCGGCCTCTAGAGTCTCGACTTCATATCCCTCTTTCCCGAGGAAATCTGAAAGTGCCGCCAGAGATATCACAATATGTTGCGTAGTTCCAATGCAGCGCCCACTTTAGCCTGTAGAGGATTCTAGCGGGAAATTCCCGTAATTCATGGATGTTTTCAGCGATTTCATTATGACACCATCCCTCTGCCACATCTCCCAGGAGGGTTCGACCAGCTTTCTGCAAAGAAGAGCCAATAATTTCCTCTATTGGTTACTGGTTACTTTATATCATCTGTACTTTCCGCTCAGTCTGTCGACGCTACAGAACCCCCGCTGAAATGGGGCCTTGCTTCTCTGCTTTCCAGTTTTCATTAGTTTTTCATTTCGTTTCTGCTCAGCATGTGACTGTCTAAGGATCATATAAATCCTAAGGGAATCAGTCCAGTGGTTATATATGGCAATACCGATATTTTCAGGTTTTTCAAAATCTCAACTCTGATAACTGGAAATGGCTTTATCATGGGATTAGGTGAGCCGTAGCAACGACAGGAACAATGTCCTGCAGTGTACGTTGATTCTGACCAAAGGTTTGCTTCTCTAACATAGTCAGAGAGATCTTGTAGGCGTCCCCATGCCATAATAACAATAGACTCTTCTTTAATCCGAAATTCTCTTGATACCAAATGACTTAGGGAAGCCAACATAAGTATAAACGAACAATAAAGCGGTTGTGATAAACGAAACCTTCCATAATCGAAACCCCATCAAAACACAACAAACTGAGCTTACGATTTCAAATCAACCGTTGTTTCTTAAACTCAGCAGAAACTAGATACAACGATGTTTTATACAACTTGTTTTGAGAGGTCCGAGTTTCTAACTTATGCAGTAAAATAACAATAAAAAGTTTACTTTTGTAAACTTTTTTATCTGATTCAAAAAAAAAGTTACATTATAAAGGAATAAAATGTCCAAGTGTTAAGTATTATTTTTTCCATACATGATTAAAACGTACTACCAGATTAAAAACGGTTTAATAGAACCGTATTATTCAGTAAACTATATTTGGAAATAGTAACTGATCCATGCAAATAACACATTTAGAGGAAAATACCGTAGAAATGCTTATAAAATTAGCAGATATCCTACAGAGTGTTGATAGACCTGACTAGTAGTTTCACTTTTCAATGGATAAAAAACAAATTTCACTTGAATATGAACTATTATCATAAATGGTAAAGAACGTGGTTATATAATTTATGTTGAAAAAGTTAAAATATTATATATAATTACAAAAGAAGATGCAACATATATTATATGTGTTTCCAATAAACACTGTTAACAATGATTCAAACACATGAAATTTTGTATTACAGTGTAATATATTTTAGGCCAGGCGAAAAAAACTTTTAAAATGGAGGAAAACAGACATAGCATTCATTAATTT